CTTTACTGAAAAATATTTAATATGAATAAATCATCAGCTCATAAAACCGCTGAATTCCTCTCACTCGCGCGGGCACCTGATGCATGAACACACGGAAGTCAGCAGTGTTTTATCGAAGCAAATGATGGGAGTGTTGGCTCCCATCATTTCCAAACGCTTCTCAAACAAAGATGTACATGTCCAGTGCAGAAATGACGGGAGCCATTTGTGGACTGTCCATCACAAATACAAGATTGAATCCAAGAGTATGAATCTTAAATGCAGAAAAGAGAAAAGCGATATCTCAATCTAACCTCAATGATACTACCTGTAACATCACGTGTGTAGCTATATATTGCGACGTCTTCGGGCAGTAGAAGCCACACTGTCAAAATTTCTTGCGAAATTTTCTAGTTTGATTTAATCTGCATCTTTCAGCTCGTCTGTTTTAAAGAGTTCATTAGCCAGTTGCCAATTTGCTCGCAGTCTCTTCATCTGCGTTGGCTGAAAAAAACTTCCAAGATGCACCTGGGGGGGGGGGTGCATCCATCCAACACACAGGGAGACATCAGCCGGGCTTTTAGAGGAGCGCGTCCTTCTCTCCGGGTGTACACTCCCATTTTTTGGCAGAACACCCTCCGATGCAATTAACCCAGGAAGACGACTTTGTCAAGGGGGACTCGACGCCGACCACCGCAGCTCTCCAGTCCGACGGCAGCGCCGGATCTCCGGCCAAAATGTGCAGTGAATGTTACGTGAATCAGACATTTGTGCACGATGACGGGACCGTGAACGACCACAAGCCACGGTAAGAGAGACGAGCAGCAACCGACCAGAACAAGTAAGGAGGCAAACGTCTATCACATTATAGTGACAAATAACTTACTTTTAGTGCTTTTGATTAATAATAATAAAATGAAAAAACAGTGAAAAGTGCTTAATATCTTTGTGTGATGACATTTGAATATTGTTTTTATTCAGTTAGTTTTGGTGCTGTGTGTAAACGTGCTGATCTTTAGTTTGTATCAGTGTTTTTTTTTTTTCAGTGCTCCATCCCTACAGTTTGCTCATGTCCTCCTGTCATCACCGTTCAGCTGTTCATTGTCTCAGCTTTGAGTATATTATCTACTGCAGACATAGCTGCATTACTATAAATAATACTTTAAATAATGCTGTAAGGTGTTGAACTCTGCATCTGTGTTTCTTTAATGGAACATTTGTTACTTTTCAATTAAAAAACAAAACCTATTGTGTTAAAAATTCTATATTGAAAGTACATCAGAAGACGAACAGATGTGTTGTTAAATTACACACCAGGTCAAACCATAAAAGCTCTCACTCAGCATGTTTCGTTCTCTGTTCTGTTCACTCGGATGTCTTTAATGACGCGTGAGCTCAACTGCGTTTTATGAGACTGGTGCTCTTTGCCGTTGGCTTGTGTTTGGTTTAGTTAGATGGATGGGTTTCACCAAACCACATGGGAAATAAAGCCATCATCTTTTATGCAATACGTTTGTCAAGCTTAATGGAGGGCTAGAGCAAACAGGCAGACAGTGATGGAGAGGAGAGCAGAGAAATGAAGGAAAAAGAGGTTTAGGGCTTTACACTCTCTCGCTATGGATTGTATTATGTGTTTAGCTTCTTCTTCAGTGGAAGAGACTGTAAAAAAGCACCTGTCTTCAACCAAGAAAATGTCACACCACTCACTTAATTTGAATAATAAAATACAGCTGTTACACCTCCCTGTGATGAGTAACCACAGAGATAATATGCAAACACGTTTTATGATTTGATATTAAGATGAATCTGTCTGGAATCTAGAATCCTACGTAACTTAAACAGAAGTAGGTAAACACACTTTAAATGCATCTGCATTGTAGTAAAGCAGTTGGTATGCTTAGTGTTTTAGATGAACATATGTTGGCTGGTTGTACTTTTTATTGTCTGTCTGACTTCAACATTTTTGAGCAGCTCATATTACAGAACAAGCTGCCAACAGACAGCTGAAGCCTAAACGACGAATTAATCATCAAAGCTCACTGCGGAGAGTGAAATACTTTTTCTGTCCTATTTTCTCTAACGCATACTCTTCTGCACATCTGTATCAGTCCGCCACCTGCCCGTTTCAATCCCATGTTTCCTGTTCTTGCATCCTCTTCTTCTCCCTGTGCTCCATGTTCCTTTTCCACATTTCTTGCCCTTCCACCTCCCTTCACTTTTGCACTTTGCCTCCTTTTCTCCCTTCATTTCCCCTTCTGCTTCTTTACTTCTCTCCTCTCCTCTCCTCTCCGTCCTCCAGCTCCTCTCCAGCACCACTCCAGACCAACACCAACAGCAGCGGGGTTATCTTAGACATCTCCACTCTTAAGATGGAGCAGCAGGAGAGTGAGGAGGTGCCTCCGCTGCCGCTCCGCTTCCGCTTCAGAGACCTGCTGCTCGGGGACCAGAGCTTCCAGAACGATGACAGGTAGGCAGCAGTGAGGACGTGAGGAGGAATGGTAACCATGGTAATCAAGAATGTTGATCAGCGCTGTGTTGACACGATCAGAGACAGAAACATCACATTCAGTTTTTTTGACGGTCCAAAGGGGAAAGTTGTGAGAGACACGCCAGAGTTTAACTATCAGATACTGTGAACAATACTGTTAACACAGTCCAGTGACCTTTTTTTCAGATGTATCCCCACAGTCCCATCAGATATAACTCAAGCACCCCTTTCAACCATTTATTCAGTAACTGTTTCACCTGTTCATCCAAAATGTTTAGCTGTTTTGACCGTTTATCTATTACCTTTAGCTAACTGATGGCTAACGTCTCTGCTCACTTGCTGACTAGTTTTTATGCACTTCTCAACTTGTAGTGTTCAGCTGTTGAAGCTGATGCAATTAGTGGATTTTTTTAATTTGTTTTGGGTTCAAATTATAATTTCTATTTTTTAAATAGCTGAGCTTCTCACAATCTTTCCATGTACCTCCATCGACAGAAAATGAAAAGGCAACTACTTTAATGATCGATTCATTTTTTAAGAAGTCTAATTTTAAGAACAAAACATCCTCTTTACCTCATTAGATAGTGATAGTAAATGAGATAATTTGGGGTTTTGGACTGTTGGTTGGACAAAACGAGACATTTAAAGATATTATCTCAGGATCTAGAAAAATTGGCATTTTTTCTTTTTTTTACAGCTGACAAATTACAGCCCCAATTAGCATTCAATCTCACCGTTTTGGCACGTCACTGTGCATGGAGTGTTTACCTCGTCTACCCCTGGTAGTCTTAAAATATACAAGAACATACAAAAGCACAGTTTGAAGTGCTTCCTAAACCGGTTATATGGTGTCAGAGGTGTTTGCTTTGGAGATCTTCAGCCTGGAAAGAGGTAATGAAGCATGGCAGAGTTGAGGGTGCTGTCCATGGTGCTGAAAAAGAAGACATTTCTGAAGCACTATGTTTTTTGTGAAGTAAGCTACGTGTGTGTGTATGTGTTTGATACATTCCCACAAGAATGTATTGAAATACTTTAAAAAGTCTGACTTGGAACACATTGTTCAGCAACAATACTCTGACCTATTTCACAGTAAGAATTTGAAATGAGATCAGTCCCTCTGTTATCTACCTTTCCTCATCCTTCACTGTCTCCTCTTCTACCTTCAGTTCGACTCTGTTGCAGCATCCGAGCTCAATAGACAAGATCAGTAACAGTCCTCTTTTTTTTCTGATATCTGCCTCATTTGTTTTCATCTTTCGGGATTCAAAACAGTGCTAGAGCAAGAATTAAGCGTTTAAAACAAAGAAAGTCAAAAAATAACTTGAAAAAGAAAAACACGTCTGTCCCTTTTTTCTGTTATTGCAGAGGTCTGGAAGAGGGCTGCATTTTAACAATCCAAAGCAGTTAGTTATATGCTATTTGCTTTTCCTAAAGATATGTATTCAGCATGTAAGCTTGGGTTCTGCCAGATGGACCTCAGGAGAGTGATGATCAAATGTAATTTTAGATGTGATTACAGCAGCAGCAAACCTTTGAGACCGCGAATGCTGTTTGTAATATTTGACACATCTACTCGACGAGAAAAAAACAACAAGCTCTGCCAATGCTTTCAGTCAGATGTGACCTTTCCCCAGCTGTCCTTGCAACAACCACTGTTTTCTCTCCTCCATAAAGCTGTCTACATTTTCAGCTCCTATTTAGATGGTTGTTATCACTTTTCTGCTCTTTTGCTGCAAATCAAGCCGTCCTCTGTCCCTGGTAGATAAAGTTGTTAGAGGTGACGGATTATCGGCGGTCAGCCTGCAGGCTTGTGTGTGACTGCGAACTCTTAAATGTCACTAGTCACATCTTCCCAGGGATCATCCATTGTCAAAGGTTGCCTTCTCAAAGTCGGGCAAGCTTGAGAAGAAACACACAGAAACATGTTTACACAGTATTGTCAAACTATCGGCCATATTTGAAGTGGGGCAGTCTTTCTCTCAGGCCCACTCCTTCATTTGTACATTCCCTTTCATCTGTTGTTCCGCTTTCTGCCACCTACAGTCCAAGTCACTTTGTTTATCACATTTGTTCCTTTTAAAATGTCTTTGAAGCCTTTCTGATATAAACTTTGCGATACATAAATGCGTAGTGCATAAGTGAAAATGTCACGTATTTTACAGACAGGAGTTATGGCGTTGGGGGTCTTCTCATATAACTCGGAAAGCCGCGTTGAGTGGCTCCACCAGCGTGGGCGAAAAGGGGTTGAAGTGGAGTGGCCTTTTCCGGTATTTTCCAAAAGCACTGACTCATGGAGGTCATCTATAAATTACTACTTCAGACTCTTCAAATGAAGAGAAGACAAATAGGTGGGAGGGATACAGAAGAGAGAGAGAGAGAGAGAGCATTGTTCTATGTTCTTTTTGTCTGCCTTTTCTCAAATCCAAGAAGAAGGAATCTTTCTGTTGCAGTCGTCTGTCAGTTGTGACGGTGAAATCTCCACACCAGCAGAGCTTTCTCTTGACAGACGAGCAGAAAGACAGACAGTGCACTGACTACAGGCTTTGTTGCTGTAACACCAGAAGGCTTTAGATGACACATAAATGAAGACAAATCATGGTTTCTCTGCGGCGGATCCATCGTATACATTCCTCTGGTATAATGCCACAGTGAATGTTTGCAGCTTCGTCAGGAGCTGCTGGAGAGGACCACGCTGCAACAGCATCATTTAGGGTTATTCTTGTCATAGCAACGTTGCTGTGGCAACAGGCCCGCGCACGAGAGAGGAAGAGAGAGAGAGAGAGAGAGAGAGAGATTATATACATTTCTAAAAATATTCCAATAAGCACTTCAGTCATCACAATAAATGATTAATCAAACACAGATTTGTCCTTGAATTCGTTTTTTTTTTTTACGTAGCTTCGTTGTATTGTTGCTCGTTTGGATTGTTTTCCCTCCAAAATTAATTCATCGACCAACACAGTTTAGCGCCGTGTTGTTTTAGAGCTGCAGCGATGCGCGTTGGTCAAGAAGCTTTATAATCTGACTGCGCGACGCAGCCACAGGTGTCTTCCAGCGCAATGGATCCGAGAATTATCATCCCAACCTGGGGCAATCCGACCGTGGGGACGTGGAGGTCGGACCCGTTTGGGGCTGATGCCGGGCAGAGGTAGGGCCACACGGAGCCTCTTAAGTGGTAATGTCAGTGGAGTGGCGCTGGACGCCCTGAATGGGAAGCGAGGGTAGGCTACTGCACTTTGAGACGTTTTTATCGTTGGAATTTTATTTATTTTTTCAACGGAGACAAATTGTGCAATTGCAGTTATGCAAGACATTTCCAGAGAGACGATGGAGGAAGCGCTCGCTCTGACCAATATGAGCGCGCCCAAAAACTGCTGAGATGCACAGAAATGCCTGCCTGTTTATTCATTTAGTGACCTGAAACTCACGTTTTTTATTTTATTAATTAACATAACTGCTGTGGTATAAAGTAACGATTGTGATGATCGGTTCATTTTCTAATCGTTGTTCTTTAAGTGTCAGAAAAGAGGGAAAAGGGATTTCGAAGACTTATTGCAATGCCTTGTTTTTTAGCGACCAACATTTCAAAAATATCTATTTTTCACTATCATTGAACACGTAAAGAAAACAAGAAAATATTCGCACTTGAAAAGCTACAACCACCGACTTTTGTAAAAAAAAAAAAAAAAAAATTGAAGGAGAAATAAGTCCATATTTCATACTGTGGTAACTTTTCTAGCCTTTGATTAATAGTTTCAGCTCTAATAGAAATCATTTGACAACAACTTCCACGATAAATTAATCTGTTGTTTTTTATCAATTAATAGTTTGCTTTATAAAATGTTGATCACAATTTGTATTTCTTTCTATTGCTTATTTTTTCCAGCCTACAGTCCAAAACCAAAAAGATATTCAGTTTACTAACACAGAAGTGTTAAATGAAAATTAACCATTTTTTGAATAGTTGCTAAAAAAAATACTTTTCTGCCAACTGACGAATCCATCGATACTAATCCAGTTCCTGTTGATCTGCTAATTGATCGACCGAATTGTTTAAGCTCTATAAACAAAAAATGCTTTTATGATCAGACAAACTGCTTTTATTTGCCCTATTTGCATTGAGAGCAACAGGTCGTTCTCTGGTGTTGATTAACACCTCCTGGTGAGTTGATTTGATACAAGCAGGCCTGTTCCAGAGCTGCAAGATGATTGCACTTGCAGATCTTTTCCAATCCAGATCTAATTACTCCCAGAGCGCCTTATTGCCTGAAACGTCGATGTGACGCGCAGTATGACTAATGTCAGACCTCCTTTCCTAGTAATTGTGTGCTCAACAGGAGCTGATTAAGGGTCATTACTTGTGTGTGTGTGTGTGTGTGTGTGTGTGTGTGTGTGTGTTTGTGTGGGTGGGTGGAGGGATGAGACAGACAGAGAGCAATCTATAGGACCCTTCTGTGTTACAGCCAACCCTCAGTTGAAGTGCCTTCACCTCCAGAGCCCATCTCTGCCCTGCTGCTGGCCAGATGTGACAGCTGTTTTCAGATTTCATCATTAGTGTTCCTCTGTTTCGTCTCTCTGGTGCAGCTTTATCATCGTGCAGACTTGAAATAGCTGCAGCAGTGCACTCCGAAGGATCTCCGCGCATCCTACAACCCACACTGCCTTTTGCTTCTCACTGTGAGCCTTTCAGCCAAATGCTGAAACTTGGGATTAGTGCAGCAGCAGGGTCACAGCCTCACATGCTTTCAAACTGTCCTCAAATTCTTCTAATCTCCCTCATGCTTGCACTCTGTCTATTCATTTTTACGTCTCTGCACTCTCTTCTGCAGGCAGCACTGTGAAGACTATAACAGGCTTTGTAAAGATTTTCGGTGTGTTGTCAAGCTACCGTATGAGTTGTGCTCATTCTCTCTGACTGACTCTGCCTCTGGGCTTTGATCTGTTTTACAAATCAACATCCAACATATAGCCTACTATTGGTTTTTCAAATAAGAGGAAGTATTTCTTCACCCACAAGAAAGTTACTCCTGATGGCTCACGTAAAAACCTAATTTATGTGCATCATAGCTTGAAGAATAATATGATTGGAAACCTTATTTTATTTTATTTCAACAAGAAAGTTTATCACTTGTTTCACAGTTTATTCTGAAATTGCATGATAGCAAAATGTCTAAATATAGGATTGTAATTTTTAATATGATTTTATCTCCACCAGGCGTAAAGCCTGTGGGGTGATTATGCGTTTGGCCATGTGTGTGTGTTTGTGTGTGTGTGTCTGTCCACAGCTAATCTTGCATCCCGTCAGCCTAATATTTTTTATATACAGTTATTATGACTGTGTGCTCAAGGAGCGCTTGAAATGCAGAAAAGTTCTGCACGGTTCAACCCTGTCTTTTCAAGTGGGAAATAAAATCGGAGCCGGATAATTACCAAACTCTCCTCGGGCAGATGATTATTATAATGAATATTCATGCTGTGTAAAACATGATAACATTCAAAACTGCTCTGAAAAACTCTTGCGTGGCTCTTTCTGTTTGTGCTGCTGATTCTTGTGTGACGGTTCCTCTCCTTGTCTTCCCTGTTAGGGTGCAGGTGGAGTTCTATGTGAATGAAAACACCTTCAAGGAGCGTCTGAAGCTCTTCTTCATCAAAAACCAAAGATCAAGTAAGTGGGTGGTGCAGGTCATCTTCTCACTCACCTGAATTGGCTGTTGCTTAATTGAAAGGCTCCAATAAAAGTCAACTAAATAAAAGCAATACCGACAAATTTCGTGACTAATGAGAACCAGATGCATATAGAGGAACATGTGTCTTGCATAACAACCACAGATTTAATGATAATTACCACTGTGGCACACATACTATAAATCATCAAATGTAACTACTTAAACACACTGATGTTGCTTATCAGTAATGATTAATCCCATTGCTGCTGTAGTGTTGTTTGTAGTGAGTATTTGTGTGGAAGATGGGTCCCTCTTTTGCCTTTAGGCCTTCGGATTCGTGTGTTCAACTTCTCCCTGAAGCTGCTCACCTGTCTGCTGTACATCATCCGAGTGGTTACAGATAACCCCGGTCACAGCGCGGGACAGCAAAGCGCTTCCAGTGGCAACATCAAATGGTTTGTCTATTGTCAACGGAATCACTTACTGTACAAATGAAGCAATGGCAATACAATGCCCACAAAGTGCAAAGAGATTAAACAAATGCAGCTGTTTTAAGTGCTCTTAGAAATTACACAACCATCAATCGACATCTTTAAATTAATGCGTTTTCATTTTTGGTCCAACGGTAAGCATAATAAAAGTTAGAAAACATTCAGTTTTAGGTATCAGACAGTCGCGAGGAGAGGATTCAACATGATGGATGTAAAATCTAATCTAATAACTTGGTTTTTTTTTTGTTCCTCACTATTCTGCAGTGTTGACTGCCAGTGGAACGGATCAGTGCAGGACAGAGAAATTAACTGGTAAGCAGCAGAAGGTGTGATTTCTGTCAATGGGCCCCCTTTAGTAGAAAATTATCCTTTGGTGAGAGCGACATTCAGCTACAACAGCTGACAACTTGATCATCTGCAAGTCTTTTTGTGACTGTATCTATCTCTCGCTGACGGTACAAAAACAGATAATAATGCAATTCTTGACTGATGGAGAGGATCTTTATGGTTGGGGTTGCTGTTGTGCGCTCTGTCTTGCAGGGAGTTGATCTTCTGGGTGGACAGAAAAGTTCCTGTCTGGGCCATTCAAGTGAGTCACAACATAATAAAAATGTATTTAAACAAGGAAAACTTTTATAAACTGAAGTATATGAACCGAGGTGATTAAATATGTGAGCACAGGTGCTTGACTACACAATGAAAACACCGCGGATTTAATTATCAGAGGATTATCTCTGTTTTTATTAATTCATGAGCTTGTGTTCATTATTCCCTGTTTTGGTTTGCGCAGGTGATTGTAGCCATCATTAGCTTCCTGGAGACTATGCTACTGATGTATCTGAGCTACAAGGTAAGACACTAAACAAATACAGTCTTCAAGCATGTCAGCAATACAGTCTGCGCATTGGTCCCTTACAGTCTGTGAGATTGGCAATCCATAAGTGGTGTAATTAGACAAAGCCATTTATCACAGCTACATTAGATGATAATTACAGGATCTGGTTGAGGTGAAGGATTAAGTGGTCATGGAAAGTGACAGACTACAATTAAGATCTGCATCTCTGACTGCAGTGACTCACTGTCTATTGTGTGCTCACAGGTAAAACTGTTAGAAAGTTTCTGCATCTTTTTTTATTTAAGGGGAACATTTGGGAGCAGATATTCCAGGTGTCCTTTCTTCTGGAGATGATCAACACAGTTCCCTTCATCATTACGGTAAAACGTTTACCATGAGTGAAATACTCTTCATCTCCCACTAGTTAACCACATACTTTTTTTATGTAAACAACAGCAACACCAACACTCAGTTTTGTATATTATTTTTTATTTTTTTTACAATATTAGCCTTCAAGAATAGAGGACATAAGATCTGTTGAGAGTCAGACTCAGCTTATTGAATACAGAAAAGTGAATAATAAGCATTTAGATGGATAGAAATAACGACTGTGTGTTAAGCTGTGGTGGAATGAGTAATCAGATATTTTAGTTAAGTAAAAGTCCTGCATTCAAACCTTTACTTCAGTAAAGGCACAAAAGTATTAGCATCAAAATATATGCTACTTAAAGTAGCTCGAACATATTGTATGAATGGATTATAATTATTGATGCATTGATGTGTATATCACTAACGTTGCAGCTGGTAAAAGTGGAGCTACTAAATATACTGCTGGGTAACTTGACCTATAATAATAATAAATCATAGTTTATTAGTTGATTTATAGTTTTGATTAATAATCCAAATTTGTGAAGTAACTACAGTTATTAATGTACTTGAGTGAAAAGGACTTACATTTCCTCTGAGATGTAGTAAAGTAGAAGTAGCATAGAATTAAATACTCAAGTGTAGAACAAGTACTTCAGAATTGTAGTAGTTAAGCACGGTACTTTAGTAAATGTACTTAGTTACACTCCACCACTGGTGTTAAGTATACAAATTGCAGGTTGACCTACAAGACAAGACATATTAATATATATATATATACAATATGTCTTGTTTTAGTTGGCAAAGAAAGTAGCTAACGCGCTAAATTAAGGTGGTAAACACGGTAAACATTTTACCTGCTAAACATCAGCATGTCAGTGTTGTAATTGTGAGAGCATGTTACAGTAGCATGCTGGCATTAGCAGTTAGCTCAAAGCCGCAGCACAGTTGCTAGCCTAGCTGTAGACTCGTGTCTTTGTTTTTCACAGATTTAAGAAACAATGTATGAAATATTATCTATTAATGTGTAGAGAAATGTCTCACTTTCTCCTCAGATCTTCTGGCCCTCAATAAGAAACATCTTCATTCCCGTGTTTCTCAACTGCTGGCTAGCTAAGTGTGCTTTGGAGAACATGATCGTGAGTGAAAAGCATTAACTTCAATTGTTTCTGTTAATGACTTGTTTTCGATCAACAATTTAATGACTTTGTTGAGGCAAGACACTTCATGCTCACAGTCGTATTGCAGCTGGTGTTGACAACAACTCATCAGTCCCCTCCTTTGGTTCTGCTCTGATTGTGAGCACCCTGGAGGTTTCCCACTGGGGGGAATTGTCTGCAAGCCTCTCTGCATTTTATCCTGTTGTTCTGTATTTCATGCTGCTCAGCTGTATTGCTACAACAGGAAGCATCCAAGAGCATAATGTCATCTCATAGATGCAACTTTATGTCCTTCTTTTCAATGAGTATAGTTCATATGTTAAAGTATGCTGTTGTTATCGGGTAGAATGATGTCCACAGAGCAATTCAGAGGACCAACTCAGCAATGTTCAACCAGGTCCTCATTCTCATCTGCACCCTGCTCTGCCTGGTCTTCACTGGGTGAGGCTGCTTCTTAAAGTTTTTCTTTAACTGTTTGTCAAATCTTTTCCGTCATTCTTTATGAATTAAACCTCTCTGTGGAAGTTGGAATGTTTTATCTGTATCAACACCATAGAAATATATATGATGGTGTACATATAGTGTGTAGCTTGGCATCAGGTAGCGGCTATCCTATCTCAGCATTATAAAAGCAATAAGGAAAATTGGTAAACTTTGTGACAGGAAATGTTTGTGACACTTACATTTTAGGTCCATAAATTACCAATAATTTCCTTGGACGTTTCCTTGAAAGAAAGAATTGTGTATCTGTGTTACACTTCCAATTAATTACAAATGCTGAGCTAGCGTAACCTTGAGTGTAGTTCAATGGAGGTGTGTTGGAGATGAAAAAATGGGATTCTTTTCGACAGGAAAACAGACTTAAATTAATAATAAAAACATTTTTATTTGGGTTTAAAAAAGGAAGAGCTCTTTAGGAACTTCCTTTTATATTACCAAAAATTTATCAGAAATTAATTTATTTTTGCAATACATTTTAATTACGCAAACAACTGTATTACATATAGATACATTCTATTATACTTTTCGACTAATTAAATATGTGAATAGTACATGGGCGTCATAAATGCTGGCATCGTGTGTGTTTGTACACGTGGCTTATCTGAACTGTTCTGCAGCACGTGTGGAATCCAGCACCTGGAGCGAGCAGGCAAAAACCTCTCCCTCTTCGACTCCTTCTACTTCTGCATCGTCACCTTCTCCACCGTTGGCTTTGGAGACGTCACTCCCCGCATATGGCCCTCCCAGCTGCTGGTGGTCATCATGATCTGTGTAGCTCTGGTGGTGCTGCCTCTGCAGGTAGGAAGATGCTGAAATATTCCTTGGTACCGTCTGAATGCTTCTTCATGACTTTTACTCAGTTTACTTTGCTGTGTGTCAGTTTGAGGAGCTGATGTACTTGTGGATGGAGAGACAGAAGTCTGGAGGGAACTACAGCCGCCACAGAGCGCAGACAGAGAAACATGTAGTGCTGTGTGTCAGTGCACTAAAGATAGACCTGCTCATGGATTTTCTCAATGAATTCTATGCCCATCCCAGACTGCAGGTACAAAACAATCCAAAATAATGCATTTTTATACCGTAGAGTACATATATAGGATGTGAATTGGTCTATCCGTGCATTCCACTGTGGATACTAAAGTAGCTCTTGTGTCATCTCAAAGGATTACTATGTGGTGATCCTGTGCCCAAGTGAAATGGACCTCCAGGTGCGGAGAGTGTTGCAGATCCCTCTGTGGTCTCAAAGGGTCATCTATCTGCAAGGATCCGTTCTCAAAGACCAGGACCTGTTAAGAGCCAAGTAAGTGACACTTAAACTTTGGTCTGACTGTCGGTCGGTCCATCGCTGTGGTCCAGATTAAAGTAAAATTGATATGATACCCAACAAAATAAATACTAATGCATACCTATACACATACATTTGCAAACATAAAGTTCAGGTCCAGTCCAGTAAAGGTCAGCTAGGCCCTGGTGACATTGGCTTCATGTGGGGTCAACCTCTGAACATATTTTAGGCAAGATTTTGGCCAGTGCACCCAGTGTACTAGTTTAAATGGAATCACAGAGCCTCACAGAGCTGCTAGCGTGGCTGTAGACTCTCAGTCTTGTTGCTGCAGTGTTGCTGATGTGCTTGTAATTACACTGATCTGCCTAATTGCTATAATTAAAGGTGAAACAAATCATCTTATTTTTAATATCTCTGCTACCAAAAGGCCTACCAGATGGATGACAGATCGTAGTGATTAAACTGAACATTCTGCATCATTTACGGGGAGGAGGATCGGATGGGAGATGTTTACATGAGTGCAGAACTGATTGATATTCCTGATGCTTTAGTGGAAAGACTACTTTATGGATTCCTTTGATGCCCACTAGCTGCATAGCTTTGTTCCAGAACAAATTCTCTTTACTGAATGCTAACATTTAATTTTTTGCACTTTATGCAGGTATAAATAATTGCCTCAAACCATCAGCAGGACATACATCTCTATTGTCCTTCCATTCCTTAATGTCGCCCAAATATTCTCTCTTTCCTGTCTGAGGGAATAGGCCTGTCAGAGCAATCGTGTTGCCTCATACTGAGACAACATCGTAATTATTCATTCAAGCTGTGATAAATTCTTTTAAAGACTCAGCTTTTAAATGGACCTCTTTCTCTGACAAAAGCAAACATGATTCACCTCACATTCTTCTGATCATTTTGAGTCATGAAAGGGGAAACTTTAACGCAGATGTCAACCTGTCAACCTGTGCATTGTCAGGTTTATTTCCGTAGCCTTAATCACATAAAGGCCTCAAAGAGTCAGACATGCAGCCAACTGATATTACACAAAAGGGTCAGTTTACTCGTTATTGTTTGTTAGTTAATATCTTATTTATCGTACATTTTAAAGTATTATTAATTCATTGATTTTCATTAAATATAACAGGAACTAAAACCCAGGATATCTCTGCCTTAATTTGACCATTCTTTTTTTCTCTTATGAGTTCCCCAGTTTAATAAAAGTGCAATTCAAACAAAAACAAAATAGCATGTCAAAAACACCTAATAGTCCTGTGCAACAGTTGTACCATAATGTATGGAACAGCTTATAGCAAACACCAAAGTATTACTTTGATGAAATCGGTTATATAACTTCACTGTAAACATTTGCAAAGGGTTGGGATAGAGCAATTAAATCTAGAGGACTGGGTGTGTGTCGCGCTTACATCCCGCGTCTGGCAATGTTTCAAATCCTCCCACACTTGTTTTGCATTCTGCACCCTCCTGTCTGTGTTAATCATATGCAGAAACAGCTCCACGTTTACAGCACACATACAGTGCAGAGCATTTCAAGTTGCTCGTTGTGTGTTTGTCTATATGCAGGCAACTTTACATGAAATATTAAATCAAAAAAGGTTGCTGTTGTCTCTTCTGACTGGTCAAAGAACCAGCTGTTTTGTATTTAAATAATTTACCTTTGTTTTTCATGTATTTTGACCTGTTCTATTATTTGTCCACTTTTCCCGCTGCGGCAGAATGGATGACGCAGAGGCTTGTTTCATTCTAAGCAGTCGCAACGAGGTGGATCGCATGGCTGCGGTAAGAAGAGCAACAATTAATGAACTCTGTGCCATAACTCTTTACCAATTATGAGTTGTCATTCACTTGTTTACAAACACTCACGTCATTAATGCTGTCGGACATGGAGACAATTACCAATTAATTAAAGGAGATTACATTGAAAAAGCAAGAGTGAAATTACATGATCTTTAACCGTTTTCCCACAGGACCATCAGACCATCCTGAGAGCCTGGGCGGTGAAGGACTTTGCTCCAAATTGCCCCCTTTATGTCCAGATACTCAAACCTGAAAATAAGTTCCATGTCAAATTTGCAGGTGGGAGTTTCTAAACTTTTAAGTGAAACGCTTATTTGCTCTCTGGCCAAGTTAGCACATATTTTCCAAAATGTTGAACTGTTGCTGTAAGATTTGTTTCTCAGTTATAAAGCACCATTCCTGTGTAACACGTGATAAAATGTTCTCTACTACTTGGATCCTTTTTCAGATCATGTTGTGTGTGAGGAGGAATTCAAGTACGCCATGTTGGCTCTCAACTGTGTGTGTCCTGCCACCTCCACCTTGGTCACGCTCCTTGTGCACACCTCCCGCGGACGGTCTGTAATCTTGCATGCATTTTCAGTCAGAAAGTCCAAAATTCTTCACTTTGTTCATGTCTGCTGATGCATATGGATGTGTCCATTGAACTGGCACAGAGGGGTGAATAGGCCCGAGCACAAGACAAAAGTTCAAAACTAGCTCATTGTGGAAAACAGCAAGAGGTAAAAGTGCATTAAAACTAGAAAAAAAGACACCAGGCGGCACCCCACAGTAAACGGCCTTTCACTGCTCTTTAGAAAACAGTGTGAAAAACTCTCTGGTGGAAAATTAGTTTTCACAGCATGCAAATGGATCAATTTTAAAAGCTGATGTCGCTGGCTGAGGGAAACCACAATGATGGGGAATAAGAGGGCAATAGCTCCTACTGTGTTCCTGAAAACTCTTTAGAAAGCGAAGCTTTTGTGTATCTTTATTCGCGAAAAAGCGAACAGGCTTTTAGATTGCACACATTAATACAAAAGCTGTACATGAATATGTATTGTACAGTTGCCCGACTGTGTATGAGGGAGTATGTGTATGTTTGCGTTGCATGTGTGGGCGTCCTTTAGTGCACAAGATGAATTTAGAGGCATGCAGTTCATCGGGGAGGTTGAGTGGGAAATAGGTTTAAAAGGGACCAAGAGATATTGGTAATAATGAGCATTACGCTTGGTCTTATATATTGAGTTACAGTATGGAAGCCTTGGAGTGTGAAATATTTATGAGTCATCTTGTGTAGATGTTAATAAGTACTAAGAAGCAAGTATGTAAACCACTATCTCAGGGTTGTTCTAAGCATACCATTAAAAACTCCATCAAAGCGCTTGAGCAAAAACAGTAATTATCAGGGGTAATTACAATGGGCCTATTAGAGACAATGCAAGTGACTGACACACGGATCAAGATGTCTGCTTTCATCAGAGATCCCATGACACTTAAGGGCACGAGACCCCGAGAGCTCTGCAGGGACGCGGCGAGAGAGTTGTGCAATAGTGATGGATCCGGAATAGATGTTCAAGATTAGCACAGGAGGCAATTTCCTGACCCTTCAAAAAAGGTATCCGGTTCACTGATCCGTGGTTTGTTTGATTGTTTGTTTTCCCCCTGAATGAATGCAGAGAAGGACAACAGTCTCCGGAGCAGTGGCAGAGGATGTACGGATGTTGCTCTGGCAACGAGGTCTACCACATCCGAGTGTGTGACAGCAAGTTCTTTGGAGAGTATAACGGCAAAAGCTTTACATACGCCTCCTTTCATGCTCACAAGAAGTGAGTTGACGTGTAAGCTAAAGCATCTTCTTCAGATGCTGACAAGTTGAAAGTATAGCAAGGCATTTACAGGGGTATCATCTTGTATAGTGCACAACTGTTCTTTATTTCTGCAGATAAATAAATGCAAAATGAACAACATCTAACTTTTTGATTTGGGTCATAGCTGTTTTTGTGCAGCTAAAAAATGATGTCAAATATTATGCACATTCCAAAGACCTTTTTTCAGCTCACTGCAGCAAAATGCGTATATAAGTTTTGCATGTCCAGACACCACTTCTGGTGTTGTTGAAAGAAATAGTTTGACATTTTATGCGTAATAGCTTTCTTGCCAAGAGCCTGGGATGTGTGTATGCTACAGTTTGCTACAACCAACAGCTGGTTAGCTTAGCATAGCTCAACTTAGTTTATCTTAGCCAGAAAGACTGGAAATGGGGAAACAGGGGCTCTCTCTGAAGGGAAAACTCACCTTGCATCACCTCAAAAGCTAGATAATTAACAATGTATCTTGTTTGATTAATGGCCATTCCTTGGCCTGAAATTGAATGTGTTGTCAGATATTCTTAAGTGTATGCTAACAGCAGGCATGTGACGGGCAGGTACGGCGTGTGTCTGATCGGTATAAAGACGGAAGAGAACAAGAGCATCCTGCTGAACCCCGGCCCGCGACACATCATGGCTGCCACGGACACCTGCTACTACATCAACATCACCAAGGAGGAGAACTCCGCCTTCATCTTCAACCAGGAGGAGAGGAAGGGCCGCCCTACCGGGGGCCTCTTTGACGGACCCTCGCAGCTTCCTGTGCACAGCATCATAGCGAGCATGGGTGAGAGAGTGATTAGCTGCTCTTGTTGATGAAAGAGTTCTGGACGGTATTGATGACTTTGATGTGCTGGCTCCTTATGTGCGATTTAACGCTCAGGCGAATGTAATTCACAGGCACTGTTGCCATGGATCTTCAGAATACGAGTCCGCCTGACGTCTCAGGTGACAAACTGGTCCCACCGATAGTGAATGGAACAGGGGGCCGCCGGCCGAGCATCGCTCCGGTTCAGGAGATTGCCGACTCCGCCTCAATTCTGCCGTGTGACCTCCTCAGTGACCAATCGGAAGATGACTCCGTCTTCATAGATGAGAAAGGCCACTCATCTACTGAGTAAGGTTTCTGTGTCTCTGTTTGTACATAAATGCCCATAGAAGTTAGATTTGTTGTGCTGAAAACTACATTTGTAAGTAACTAATTATATTATTTATATTCATTTATATAATATATTAATATGGATTATTTAAACTGTAAAGTGATTACAATTTGCTTCATCTCAAGAAACTGCAATATTAACTAAAATAGTACTTATCAATTATTATTTGAGCATATTATCTACACCTGGAGACGTTTTTTTTATTGTAATGTTTTATATTAACTGGCTGTTAGTTTTACAGACAGTCAGTTCAATTAATTGATACTGTTGCATTTCTGGTTGAGCTTAAAATAATTGAAACCTCAGTCATTTAATACATGCTAAACCTGCAAAATGCAAATTAAGCCAACAATCATGCATAATCCAATTGAGTCTAGTTTCTTTACCATTACGCAACCTCCCAGAATATTCGACCCAAACAGACATATTTTCTTGTCTGTCATCATTCTGTGAATACTTTACCCAGCATGCAGTTGAACCTGAGTGCACCGCTAATTTCCAACATAACATGAATGAATTAGAGAAGTCCAGGAAACACGCATCAGCCTTTTTTTGTTAGTACAAGAAATTACAACAAGAAAACACACAGTTGGTTTCCATGAAATGTGTCATTCATGCTTTTTTTGGGATTTGTTTGCAGGTACGTGAAAGGTTATCCCCCTAACTCGCCGTACATTGGGAGCTCGCCCACCTTGTGCCATCTGTTGGCTGAAAAAGCCCCGTTTTGCTGCCTACGTCTGGACCAGGTGGGCAGTCGCCGTTCCAACTTAGTCACTCAATTTCTTACACTGCCTCCATCATTACTTCCTGCCTCTCTTTGTCCGTCACATCACAGCAAACCTAAAATACCTGTTTTTGTGTTCCTTATCCAGGGTTGCAGGCACAACAGCTTTGTGGACGCTAAGGCTTACGGTTTTAAAAACAAGCTCATCATTGTGTCTGCTGAGACCGCAGGGAACGGCCTTTATAACTTCATAGTGCCTCTCAGAGCTTATTACAGACCCAGGAAAGAACTCAACCCCATTGTCTTGCTGCTGGATAACCCGTGAGTTCACATTCACACACACACACACACATCGTTTCGTTCTTTCAACCCTCACTCTTCTTTCAACCCTCACTCTGTCGTTGAACATTTCACGCTGGGAAACATAATGCATGCAAGGAGCTCACGTCAGCCAATCACTTAAAGACAAGGCTGTGGAGGTGGAACTCTATTGTCCGTCCTGATGTTAGGTCACTGCTGCCGCTCACAGTGACGGTGTGTTTTAGGTGACAAAGAAAAATAAAAAAAACACTGCACTCTGTAGCTCCAGACAGTAACCATAGCAACTTTCTTTGCCTTGAACTTGAATGATATATGTTGCTACAGGGGGAGAAAAGGATGAAAATGATTTCTTTGGAGAACACCAAGCAGGCTTTCATCGACAGCCCTGATGTGTCCCTTTTCAGCCCCCACATGTGAGCTCTCTGGACTCTCATACAAACATAACAATACTCTCACTCTCTCTCTCTCTCTCTCTCTCTCTCTCTCGCAAATACAAACGCCCACACACTCTGATGCGCAATCCAAGCATTACGACGGCCTTGGGTCTCTTTTCAGGCAGTAATGAAGCAACAAATGACGGACTCACCCCTCAGCATAAAGACCGAGTAGGGAGTTGAAAGTCCACAGAAGCTCCTGAGGACCCGGTACTTACTGTTACTGTACATCATCACATACTAAACACTGACGTTCCTGAAGGAGATATAAAGTCTTTTTCAGTGTGTTTGATGTTCACTAAGTCGAAATTCGTTAACATAACGAACGCGCCGTCCTTTGATTAGTTACTCACATACGGCAGTTGATGTCAGTATCCTTGTGACGTCTTCCACGGTGCACTTATTCCAGCCCACCTGCTTGCGGGGTCAGGTGACGCTGTGCACTTTGTATCGCACCAAAAACTACCACTAGGTGCTGCAAAGCTGTTTACCTTGAGGTTATTGAAAACAATGAGAAATAATGAAAGCTTGCCGGGAACAACATCTTCATATTACACAAACACAGACACAGAAACCATTACATCATATTAACATTTATTGTTACGTGTGGTTTTACCCATCTTCAAGGCTTGCTCCAAGTATGTGGCAAAGTTTAATGTTTCTTGTGTCATTTCATGTCAAAACAAATCTTTTAAATGTGTTGTGTGCTTTGGAGTAAAAAGGAACTCAATTTCTCTATCATACATCATGTTTCCTGTAGGCCAGATAATCACTTTCTTGAGGCCATCTGCTGTTTTCCTATGGTCTACTGCATGGCTGGGACCATAGACAAGTAAGACTGTCCTATAATAACAGTTATCCTTTCATTCAAATATATTCAAGAGGAATTTGTACTTTCTTTTGGTTTAATTGTATGTGCAGCATGTAGGCAAATTGGTGTCTGCTGTTGTAATGCTCATTGTTTTGATTGTGCGTGCGTGTGTGTGTGTGTGTGTGTGTGTGTGTGTGCGTTTCAGTCTGGACAGCCTCCTGCAGTGTGGCATTATCTACGCTGATAATTTGGTTGTTGTGGATAAAGAGAGTACAATGAGTGCCGAGGAGGACTACATGGCTGATGCCAAAACTATTGTCAATGTGCAAACGATGTTCAGGTAATTCATCTGATTTTTTCGTGATGTTTATCACATATTAATCATGACGTGGTCTTTATTTTTATAACATCATTGTGTTCATCTGAGCCTACATTTGGAAAGCAGATTGCTAAAATGATCGTGACGCTCAGTCTCATCCTCTGACTCTTTCTTTTAATGTCGCACACCTCTCTCGTTCCAGGTTGTTTCCCAGTCTCAGCATTATCACAGAGCTTACTCATCCATCCAACATGAGATTCATGCAGTTTAGAGCAAAGGACTGCTATTCACTGGCCCTCTCCAAGCTGGAGAAGGTTAGACATAATAAGAGGGCTTGCAGTCAATTGCATAGTAGGAATTATATTTGTGAATTATGAAGAGAAGATGTAGAAGATGGTGTTTTTTATCTCTGCAGCCAGTCTTCTTGCTCTTATTATGTTTGACATTTCCTTCTGACTTTCTACAGTCAGAAAAGTGACTGAGTTGTGTGTTTTGTGTGTGTCGTGGCTCTCCCCCACAGAAAGAGCGTGATAAAGGTTCCAACTTGGCCTTCATGTTTCGCCTACCCTTCGCTGCAGGGAGAGTGTTCAGTATCAGCATGTTGGACACCCTGCTGTATCAGGTTTGTATACACACCTACAGCTATGCACCTCAAATAACTCTTTTCAAAACAAGAAATGAATGTGTCTTACAGCAGCAGAGAAACAGTGTTACCTGAAGAAACGGAGCAGCAGTACCTGCACAAAACAAAAGTGCCCTCTTGTGTTCAGTCTTTGATAGAAAAATGACCCAAGTTTCTTAATATCTACTGTTTTTTTTTGGTTATAAAGTTAAAAACGTGCTTTTTTTTTTTGTGATTCCATGTCAGTCTTTTGTGAAGGACTACATGATCCTTATTGCAAGGCTGCTGCTGGGGCTGGACACCACTCCAGGATCAGGATTCCTCTGTGCTGTGAGTTAGATAGAAAATAAAAGAAACGATCTGACACAGTACCGTGTTCAGGTTTATCTAACTAATAGTATACTCGTTTATTTCGTGTTCCAGATGACAGTAACAGAGGAAGATCTGTGGATTAGTACTTATGGCAGACTGTTCCAGAAACTCTGCTCCTCTAGTGCCGAAATTCCTATCGGGATCTATCGGACAGAATCCCACGTTTTCCCGACTTCTGAGGTGAGACCTCTGAGATGATGCTCAACATTGTATCAAACTAAATATCCAGCTTTAATGCAAGAATGTGTTTATCACAAAAAAAAGCTTGTAAGCTTATGTTGAATCCTGTAGGGAACATGAATGTCTGAACCAAATTTAATGACAATTGATCCAAGACATTTAACTCAAAACTACAAATGTCAACCTTGTTGTGGCACAAGGGGGGGGGGGGGTAGGTAAGATATCACCAAAGTAATTAAGATGAATCCTCTGGGAACCATGAATGCCAATCCATTTAGAGGCTGTTCAAATAATTGACAGAATAGGTGAAAACGTTGACCTGCTGGTGGCTCTAGAGAAAACCGGCAGGGGATGACCAAAGTCAGTAGGCTTTAGCCTCTGGGGGCCATATGTGCTAAATTCCCCTTCAATCTGTCCAATAGTTAATAAAGTTTAGTTGTTATTATGAAGAACATACCGGCCGTAAAGGTAACTTCCTGTACCCCCGCCCCAGTCACAAGTGTCAGTCAGTGTTGACGACTGCGAGGACACCAAGGACAAGGGCGATGAGTCTCGCAGCAACGACCAATCGGATCACCCCCTGCTGAGGAAGAAGAGCATGCAGTGGGCACGACGTCTGAGTAAGAAGAGCGTAAGGTGGCAGGGAGTGAGCCGGGACTCGAGCAAGGACCACGCCCAGCGCATCGCTCAGCAGCGCCTCAACCTCTACCGGCGCTCTGAGAGGGAGGAGCTGTCTGAGCTGGTCCGCAACCGCATGAGGCATCTGGGCCTCCCCACCTCCGGATATGGTGAGGATGGACACATCTTAAACTGCTCTGAGCTTTGCTTTTCCCAAACGTTCATGTCTTCTTCTGCTTAAAAGTTGGTCTGTTTTTTTTTTTTATTTAACTGTTGTGTGCAGAAGACCTAACTAATCTGACAGCCAGCGACGTCATGAACAGAGTAAATCTGGGATACCTACAAGGTAATGATGAATTAGGATCCTATTGAGATTAGACTAATACAGATGTGACTATTCCAGTTTGCTGATTGGGATGGTGTTTCTGTTTCAGATGAGCAGAACGATCAGCAGAACACCCTGTCCTACGTCCTGATCAACCCTTCTCCTAACACCAGGCTGGAGCTCAATGACGTTGTGTAAGCTTCGTGTTGTGCGTGTGGGTTTGTGTGCTGTTTAGTGCAAATGGTAATCTTGTGAAATTTGAGTCACCACTGCTACTGCCACTGTTTATTCCTCAGCTTTGTCAAAGCTGTCTTATTTGTGGGAGTTGTTGCATGTGTAATGCTTTGCACATTTCATCAGGAAACATCGCAGTTGATATGAATCATGAATATGGATAGGTAAACAAAAAGCATCGCTTTGTCACTACAATTTCCTTTTACCCATTATCATTTATTCACAATTCACTTAAAGGACCAGTGTGTAGGATTTAGGGGGATTAATTAGCAGAAATGGGAAAACAATATTCATAACTATGTTTTCTTTAGTGCATAATTACCTGGCACTAAGAATCGTTGTGTTTTCGTTAGTTTAGAATGAGCCCTTCATATCTACATAGGGAGCTGGTTCTATTCAAGGAGTCCGCCATGTTGCATGTTTCTACAGTAGCCCAGAACGGACAAACCAAACACTAGCAATAGATGGGAGGGGTGGGCAGAGGGGTATTCAATTGGTTGCACTCTGCAACATAACCGCTAGTTGCCATTACATCCTACACACTGATCTTTTCAAAGCTCCACTAATCAATATTTTTATATTATCGATCGATGAAATGACCATAAGTAGTGTAAATGGAATCGCTTGTAGGGACAAAAAAAATAGTCACCTGTGTCTGCAGTTCTCTGCAGAGCTTTAACATGTTTTAACTCATCGTTTTTGTTGCTGTTTTTGTTTACTCATTAACCAGCAGGCAAAATAAAGCTCTAAAAACACTCACAGCCACAACAGCCGGCAGACAAAGTCAATGACTAGCTAATGAACATTTAGCACTAAAGAGCCAGATATTTCCCCCAGGAGTCGCTGGAGACCGAAACAAAGCTCAAAGGAGAGTGAATGTTGGGCGTATTTGACCAAAAACACGACTCCAAATTGATAGTGATGTTGCTCTGTGTCTCCTGGATGTGTAAATAGGTTTGGGAAAGCTCCTGAACGCTGAGCTCCCATGTGGCAACTCTTTACAATTGATGCACACGCGTATCTCCTATTTTTTTCTCTCTCTCTCTCTCTCTCTCTCTCTCAGGTACCTGATTCGTTCAGACCCTCTGGCTCATGTCCCAGAAGAGCCTCCTGTCCACAGAAGCAGCCTAAAAGAGAGACGCGAGTCCAGCACAGACGCCAGAGAAGACACGCAGCTCTGATAGCATGCTGACCTTCACTGGTACACGCCTTCATAATCACCCCCTTCAGCTTTCATGGGGGTCTTGTTGCGTCCACGCAGGTCCAGAGCCTGAAAAAGGACAATTTGTGCTACAATGTTCCTGCACTGCAGTGTGCAACTGTATTATATGAGTGCCTACTGTCTGGCAGGTGAGATTTGATGTCATCTGTGACATTTTCATCCTCCTGCCACAGATGTTGTTTGTAAGAAAAGTGTATTCTTCGCTGTGAAAGCTCTCTCAGATGAGCAGTCAGGGACAAGCTTGTTAACAAACAAATTCAGTTGACTGAAGGGATTTGAATCGGGTCCAGCACACCTGCAGCGTTGGCCTTGATTACAGCGAGTTAGAGAGATTCACACAAACAAAAGGATCACAGTGATGGTAGATTTTGTGTCTGCTCTGTTTGGCTGCGGCTCCCTCAGGAAAAGCACAAGTTGAACGTCAAGATAGACATTTTGGGATGCAGACGCTGGCGGCCCGGGATCTATCCATCTTTTCTTGACTTGTTTGAGATTAACGGAAATCAGATGCACATATTGTAAATGACCCTGGGCCATAAACCTATTTACCACCAATCACATCCAATCAAGCATAATGTTCAACACTGGGTGACTTAAATAAAAGATGTGCATTGAAGGTTTCCTTCAAAGCTTATTTTTGGTAGCTGAACCATAGACGTGTGTTAATCAGTGGTGTAGAAGTCTTAATTAGTAAGGAATGTAAAAACAATGATGCTTACATATGTCTCTCCACTCTACATGTATGAAGTTTTTGCACTACAAGTGCTTAGTTCAACCCCTTTAACAGGCCGTGCCATATAGTCAATATTGTGCCATAAAGGATTTATTTGATTTGTACTATGTTAGTAATCAGAAAACCTCATTTCACTTTCAGCACTGCTCAGTGAAAGAATGTGCTTTTTAATATACATTTGTGGCTGTTTGGACCAAGTACGCATTTCTAAAATGCTAAATCCTGTACACAAGAATGTTTGACTTTGACTCTTTGACTTCATCCATATTTAAAAGTTGAAAATATTTGTACTGTTTTATTTAATTTCAAGTTGCACATTAAAGTGCTATATGATGAAAAAAACATATTGAAACTGTTGCCGTCTAATAATTCAGCCATAGTATTGCTAAACATCTGTCTGTCGGTCATGACTAGAAATGGCAATTTAAAGGAATAGTTGTGGGAATTTGCTAATATTGTGTCTGTATGCTTACTATGAAGCTACAGCCAGGAGAACATTATCTTAACTTAGAATAAAGACTTGAAACGGGTAAACAGCTGATGTCACATGTCACAGTTAGTCTTCTGTAAAGCAGAAGACTAAACAAGTGTAAAGCTGAGCTCTGTAGTAAAATATACTTTATGGAAGAAAAAAAAAGCAAAAGGAGATGCTAAAGGAAAGCATGAGGGAGAAGCAAAGAGAGCAGAAGGTGAAAAGATGTGGTGATGGGAAAGAGAAAGGAAGGAGCTGTATGACTAATGGGTGAGTCACATTACTGGCAATCAAGACTGGAGATGAGGTCTAATCAGGCAACTCAAGTGAAAACACCTGTGGGTTTTTTTTTCATGTAGGTGGAGGGGCTTGGTATATTATGTGGAAGAAAGAACAGGAAAGGCAAGGAGAATATATGAGGCAATATGACCTGTGAGAGGTTAGTGGCTTAAATCACTCCCTATGTACTATACAGTGCTTACTGTCTGCCACTTTATTTGAGTGTCAAATGTTTGCTTTCAATAGTGCTCTGCTACTACTACAACACTCTGCTGTGGCCATGCTCTATCTCGCGATGTTAATGAACGTGAAAAATAATTTGTGTATCCGCTCAGTGATTCGGATCCTTTCCAAAATGTAATATAGTTTTCCTTGGTCCCTGTTACACTCTTCCACCAAATTTCATGGAAATAGGGCCATTACCTTTTCCAAAACCGCAAACTTCACCTCCTTGGCAGAGGTAATTATGGCCCAAAGAGAAGTCTGAGTGAGGGTATGATTGTCTAGAATAATGTATAATAATTTATGTGTGAGTAAGTATGACTTAAAGTCTAACAGACCTTTCATGAAGATACATTCCTCCACCACATCCAGAAGAGAAAGAGAGGGGGAATCGAGCAGCAGATAAATGTACGGATGAATGTGACAAAAGAAGAGAGTGAAACAGATTGGTATATAATGCTGTATATAATACAGAGTGCATATAAAATAAATGCACACAGACCACTACAACTTAAGCAAGCACACACACTTCATCAGAAAACATACCGAGTTGTATTTTATTATATCTCTTCAAAATAAATAAACATAAAATATAACACAATGAAATAAGACTCATAACATCTCTGAAAGCCTGTAACAGAATAAACCTCAAAATAGTGCCTGCTTTTTAGTAAACATAACTTGTACGTGACGTACAAAAAATACTACTCAAAAATGTACAAAATGCAGCAAACGAATATCAAGTATTGTGCAGTTCTCCCCACATCACACCAGCTGCTGACAGTCGGCCACTACGGGGAAATGACTAGTGTTGAGCGCCAGCAGCTACATTAAAATCGTACGTCTCACTAGAATCTAGTGAGACGGTAATGAGCAGCAAACAGCTCGGTGGCGCAGCTCGGTTCATTTTGGTTCAGCAACATGAGCCAGTCAGGGATCTCAGTGGTGGAATATAAGAATTAAGTTAATACAATATAATGCACTACAGAAAGGTATAATGCACTGAGTCTGAAAAGCGCTTCCTGTTTGAAATACTAGTACAATTCCCCCTTCTGTAAAACTTTATTTCTCTTCTGTCTCAGCAGCACAAAGCTCCCAAACAAAACAAAAAAACAGTGTTGCTTGGCTCCATAGTTCTGTTGCCGTTTTTAAAGCATAATCGAGAGAGTTGAGAGAACACATCCAGAGCAGGATGCACGAGCGGTGCGTTCAGCTCTCCCCTTCCTTAACACAAAGACTCGCGCACTTCCCACAAACACACGTAATAGAAAACGAGACTGGACATTACCACTCACTAACATCCATTCCATCCTTACATTAAAAAAAGTTAGTTCCATCTTCAAAAAGCACTGACCAGTAGGAGTTACTGGTGAATAATAGGGGCTCTGTGTGCGCAGCCTGGATTAATCACAGCAGTAGGGTATTTTTTTGCCGAGCTGAAATAGCATTATCAAGTGAATGTTCACCACTGCCTGTGGTTGCATTTGGTATCAGTAGTATGTTTGCTACTGTTAAGTAGATTCAGTGGTATTCGACTTGAGGGTCCATCTCCTCTTCACTGCTACATTAGAATCAGTCCGTCATCAATATTGCCTAATTCATTTAGGACGTACCCACAAATTAAAAGTGTGACATGCAGAGTAAAAACCTAAAGAGATAAAAGAAAATAAACATTCAGACTGACATCTTCATTCTTCAGAACATCTAACCCCTTTGTCAGACACGTCAGTCACGATCACATATCCACCTTCTCACAGATTATTGGGTCCTGCCCAACAGGAGTAGATAGAACAGAAACTACACCAAGTGTCCTCGTTCTCACTTCCTCCGTGCACTCCCTGGTCTCTTGACGTGCCAGAGTTGATTGTGGATGGTCAGGGCGTCCACGCTGACCGACACCGACTTGGCGGGGATGACGTTGAACTGCTTGCGGTCCGAGCTGTATTTGTAGAGCTTGTCGATCATCTTCCGGCCGATAGAGCGCGGCCCCGTGCCTGTGAACTTGATGATCTCCTCTGTGTCCGGTAAGAAGGAGTAAATGCCACGGTACTGGCACCCACCGTCGCGGAAGAGGACGATCAGGTGATTGGACTCGCACTTTTCCAGCTCCTGCGTTCAGTGAGACGGAGGGAAAATATAATTTCTGAATATGGGAAAATTAACTGTGCGAATAATAGATAACAAAAACTAACTTTTTTACATATTCACAATCAATAATCACCATCAATAAATACATTTCAAGTGATCACACTGACCTCCAGAATAACATTCTTCTGGGTCTCATTCACTTTTCCAGCCAGACAGCAGTGAGCAATGGCATTGATGATGATTGGCTTGTTGGATTTGGAGCTCGGCTCCTTGAAGAGTTTAGGACCTTTAACAAACAAAACATAATAATAAGATAAGATAAGATAATTATAAGGTAAATGCATAAAGGTCTGTGAGTGTTTAAAGGAATAGTTTTCGAAAATATGAAGTGCATTAAGTATGAAGCTGGAGCAGAGAATAGATTAGTTTAGCTTTGCAGAAAGACTGGACGCAGTGTCGGGTGCAGTGACTTCCTGGTAAAAGAGTCCTAGGAAGTCATGGCCCGAACATAGAAATGGTTCCAGGGTGCGTGGCCTCTTTTCTTTTAAACAACGCTGGTTAAAATGTCGCCTGGAGCTCCACATTTTGAACTACATAACAGATGTGTGGCTGTGATGAGTAACATGATTGTTCGGGTTCAAACTTATAGTTTAAAAATCATTTTCATACCAATAAGTTCCCAAACTGAACCATAGTTTTAAACCTCTATTACTGTACATCATGTTGCTCATCACAGCCACACATCTACTGGTTTTCTAATTCAAATTGTCGAGCTTTAGACAACAGTTTAGCCTCATTAAAAAAAAAAGAAAGATGACACACGCAACAGTTAACCCGCTTACTCTGTTTAGGAAGGAAACAGCGGGTGAAAGACTGGCCTGAACAAAAACGTGGAGCGTGGAGTTGATGTTGAACACACCTGTAGATGCGTGCAGAATAAACTATGTCGGCTAATAAATCAAAAACACATGTTTGTGAAGGTTCTGTGGTTATAATAACAGTCTGGTGCTGGCTGAACAAAATGTAAGCAGTGGATCTGTTGTTGTGGCTAAAACAACGCACAACATCACTCCACTTAGAGACTGCAGCGCTGTGCTGACTCTCTGTATAAATACTCATCTTCTGCCCAATTTATCAAAACATTGGAAGGATTTAGTTCAATTGTGGCCACAAATTGCGAATCAAAATGTGGGAACGATTTAATAAAATTGAGGTAATAAATTATATCTCATGCTTCCAAATTAGTAAATTGTGGCTTCAATTTATAAATGTTTTTCTTTTTATGGCCACTCCCAGGCTACGTTGTTTTTCTACAGATAAAACAAACGCTAAGATAGACGGATGTTGTCTCTGTCTTCATATTTATCAGAAAGACATGAGAGTGGTATCGAACTTCTCATCCAACTCTCAGCAAGAACGCAACGCAAAGCAGCAAAAGTTAAGTTAGTTTAAAATATATCTTCTTCTACATGTTTGCTCACCGTTGTACTCGGTTGAAGTGATGGAAGAGGCTATCGAGCCGTTCTCCCAGTCCCTCTCCATGTTCCTGCTCGACGCCCTGCTCAGCATAGGGAACGACTCCATGGAGCACACAGATCCAGCCCTGGAAAGCACACTTAGAGGTCAATCAAATGACCACTTGGATACACAAGATGGGGAAGAGGATATCTCCGCCGTTCTTACACATGACACAGGAAGTCTCACCTCTGAGACTCCGCCCCTCCAGAGATGACGCTGTCTGCCTCGGTCGCCAAAGAGAGCGTCGATCCTCGATGACTGCAGCTCAGATCAGCTGAAAATGATGGAGACGGAAGGATTTAGTACCAGTTACTTTACTAAACACGTTTTTGTTTGCTCTTTCCACACCTGTTCTACCGTGTATATGATAACAGTTTACAACCCTGTGATTCAAACACGGGACAGAATCTGCACACAATTGGCAAGACAACATAATGACAAATGGATCCCAAATTAGTCAAATCCGATATTCTAAAAAGACTGACGGACGAGTGTAAAATACATAGCTGACTCCTCAAGGGTTTATCACGTTAACCGTTTTTATGGGCCGTGTATGTATATTGATATCAGATCATGCAGAGCAGGTTAGAAGGTTCACCTTCCCTGCAGCCTGCTGCTGAGCCCTGGGCTTTGATCAACATGGACTTCTTCAGAGAATCACCTGCACAACACACATTCACACACTCAGAGGACGACAACGAATGTACACAAGCCTATGAGCAGCTAGACAAAGACACCGCTCTAAGGCAACACGGAGCACTACACAAATATATACGCTGTTTCGTTACTAATCGTCCTCTTACGTGTGGTGGATCCTTTGGAGAGGCTGTTGGACTCTGCACGGTGCAGGGATTTAGGTCTGCTCCTGCGGGATTTAGTGCGTGGGCGAGGCTTGACGAGACCTTGCTCCTCCAGCAACGATTCCTGCTTCCTCCGCAGGTATTCCTGCTTAATTATCTCTCGTCTCGCCTTCTCCTCCTCCTTGCGAACACGGTCCTCTTCTGCCTTGCGCCTTGAAGTTAAGACAGGCAGAATTTAACTGCATGACAAAGAGACACCCACACATACCTGCAGGCTTCAGCCCTATTCACACGGGACTAGTATTGCCTGGTGACCTTTAGCAATTTGTAATAATTGCAGAGCTCGTCTGTGATCTTAATACCCCGAATCTGCCGGGTCTGTAGTTTGTCTAATAAAAATTCCACAGCAAATGACCTACCAAATCTGCCAAACACGGGTCTTTTAATATCACTTTTAATACATTTCTAATTTGTGAGTGTGTGAAACAAAACCCTACCTGGTCTCATCACGTTTGAGCTCACTCTCGACTTCGTGATGCTGTTTGCGTAGTCTCGCCTCTTCAGCTTTGCGTTGCAGCTTGAGGAGGAAGGCAGCACGACGTTTCGCCATTTCATCTTCTGGTTTCTCGTCATCCTGGAAGATAAAAAAAAAAGAATGATTGAAATTAATGATTGTGCTTCCCAGAAGATACTCGGGAATATTCCAAAAGTTAGACACCTGATAATCTTACCTTGAAGAAGAAACCTATCACATTCTTCTGCTCGCCTTCTGCCGTGCAGTCTGTAACGTCTGCACTGCCATCCACCAGTGGATCCTTAAGCTCTGATAGGTCCACCTCGATCAGTTGACCCTTGACCCTTGTATTCTCATCTCCACCAACAGCATCTTTCCCTGAGTTGGAAATTGTGTTCTCCTCATGTGCTGCAGCCCGTGAGGGAGACTTCAATGTACCGTCAAAGAAGCACCCGGTTCCCTCTCCACCCTCTTGGTCGGGGTCATCCGAGACTCTGAAGGTGGCATTTCTCTGAATGCTTCTCTCTGGTCTGAAGCTCTCAACAATACTCCTCTCCTGGAATCTACCAGAATTTTCTCTGCCCTCCAGGGATTGAGTATACGACTTGATAGAAGCCATCTTGCTGTTGTCTTTACTTTGTTTTTGCTCCAAGGCCTTGCTGCGTTGCTGCGAGCTAAGCTTGGGAGGACGTCGAGCAGGGGCAGTGTTGCTGCCACTGATGTCTACAAAGTGAACTGCAAAAGCTGTGGAGTCCGAGGTAGAGGATGTGAAGTGTGTTGTTGTGTTGGGGGTCGTGCTAGCGCTTGATTCAACACGTTCTGGAGGTGACACCACGCACTTCATCGGAGGTTCAGGAGGTGACACCACGTGCTTCATCGGAGGTTCAGGAGGTGACACCACGTGCTTCATCGGAGGTTCAGGAGGTGACACCACGCGCTTCATCGGAGGTTCAGGAGGTGACACCACGCGCTTCATCGGAGGTTCAGGAGGTGACACCACGCGCTTCGTCGGCAGCTCTGGAGGTGACACCACGCGCTTCATCAGCAGGTTTTGCTGAAAAGACAGCTGCATCATCTGCTGCTGGATGGAACTAATAGCTTCATTGAGAAGATCTATGGAGTGGGAACACTCGTTCAAGTCCGGTTCAGCCACATTATCCTGGGACAGCTTGTTGTTCCTGTTCATCTGGCCTGCCTCTGTTTGACCTGCCTTTGCCTGCACCTTCAGAGCATCAAGACAGGAGTCATCCCTACACGACTGGGTCTTTATTTTACTCCTGTCAGTTAGCTCTGAGGATAGCTGTGAGTGTCTCAGAGGCAGGGGAAGTGTGTCACTCTTCCCTCCACCCTTCTTTACGATGTTCAAGAACGCAGCTTTCCCTAGCTTTAGTCGCTGCCGTGCTGATAGGGTCTCCATCTTCTTCTTCTGATACTCAATGGCTCGTCTTTGCTCTTCCAGCTGCATGTGAAGTTGCAGCAGCTCTGAAGGCACTACTGGGGCACTCACCACCAAATTCTTCCCCAAAACAGAACTAGGCTCCTTTCCTAGCCAGCTAGAGGTGCCGTCACTCCTCACTTGCCAGGGGGAGCAGGGGGCAACCTCAGAACCATCTGGTGTGGTCTTCTGAGAACTGCTGGTGCTTGAGAATCCGTCACGGAGGCCAAGTTTAAGGAGCTTTCTCTCTGCAAAGCTGGTCATCTTGACACTGGTGCTGCATGTAGCGCTGCAGCTGCTCGCCCACGATATGGTGCTGAGGCAAGGGCTTGAGCGTCCACTGCCGCCTTCCTTATCGTCCCGCTCACTAACCTTCGAGTCTTCTCTCAGTTTGGCTGACTCACCCTCTGCAAATTCACACACCTCTCCGTCCTCTAAGAATTGTCCCTTTTCTCTCCTCACGACTTCTTTAGTCAGCTCCATCTGATCGTCCTCCTCCTCGTCTTCCTCGAGGTCTGCGATGTCAGAGTCGGAGTCATGCCCTATTTCAAGCGTGGTGGAGGAAGGAGTGTGGCAGTCTGTCTCTCCGGACAAATGAAGGAAAAAGCCTGGGGACTGCTTCTTCTCAGACTGAGAGATGCCTGCCGACCCCTCTGTGGGTGGCCTGAGAGAGCTGGGGACTGATTCTGACACAGGTATGGGGATAAAGGTACTTCTGTTTAACTCCGCCGCAGGGGCTTTCCTCTGTGAGGTGCTTGGGACATTAATGGCTGCTTTCCTAGCAGTCGCTGTCGCTTTACAGCGACTCTCACCACTCTCCTCCTCCTTGTTCAGGCTGATGCTCTTCTCTTTGGCTGGCTTAGGGATGGCAGGCATCAAAGGCTCCAGATAGTAGCTGTCTGCCGGGTGGTCCAGAAGAAAGAGACCCGCTTCCAGGCGGGGAGAGCAACGAGTATTGGAAACCCTTGAGGTGGATGTTGCACTTGGGATTTCCAGCTCATCCTGCTCCATGTCACTCCCAAGTCGACATCGAGAAAATGCAGAAGGGTGGATTACAGCAACAAGTTCCTCCTCTTCCATTTCCTCTTCCTCGTCCTCTATGCGCATGTGACTAAGCAGGCTTTGACCACTTAGCCTGTGTTGAGGCAGTTGAGGACACAGCATGTGTTTGGGGGTCATTATATTGGAGGCCAGGCTGTCTTTGCTGATGGAGCGAGCGAGGCTAATACTGTCTGCGTCGTCCTCCAGGGGACAATGCAAGGCGTAGGGCACCGGCTGGGATAAAGGCCTGGACAGGGCGAGAGGGATAAATACGATTTGTGTAAGCCAAGTCTCATGAATCATGGAACAACATTGGTCTGCTACACCTGTGCCTGCTGATACGTTGTAATCACACTGCTCACCTCTGCCTCCTCTCTGGCCAGGCCAGTATTGAGCCCTGATGCTGCCCATCACGTGTCAGAGAGTTGGACCTATTTCTCAGTCCTGTGCAAAGAAAATATGATCAATACAACAACAAGGACTTCTCAAACAGGCAACATTGATTGTGGATGATTTTAATAATCTACACTTGGGAAATTAAATATCTAGGTTGAATATAAGGATCTGATATTAAAGTATACTTTTTTTTAAATCTTACACTAAATATCACAGTGAAATGCTTACATTAGCAACTATTCAAGTACCTTGAATACCTCTATCTTTCTTCTCCCTTCTTTGTTTGTGACTTGAGGCAGCAAACTGCATTGGAGCCTGAGTAAATATTAGTATTATATTACCTGAAGTGCTCTCCTCAGTCATTTTCTGTTGTCTTTGTCTCAGCGGCAGTAAAGAGTGAGATGGGCTGAGGGAGCCTGGTTTACTGCTGAAAGGAAAAGACAGAGAGGTTTGGGTTTTAATGTTAAATCTGGTTTGAGTTTAGCTTCTCAAATCTTTAAATAATGTTGCTTTTCTTAAACACAAGTGTAAAATACAGAACATTAATCAGTAAATCTGTGACTTGCAAGTAAAATTGTGACTTGCAAGTACAACTGTGTGTGTGTGATGTTACTGGAAAACACAGTTTGTGGATATTACCTGAGGTCGGGACTCTGGGACGATGTAGTCAAGATGTCTGCAGAGTTTGATGATGCCAGGAAACTACGTTTGGTGACGTTGGAGATGGGAATATGGGATCGAGAAGTCTTGGGCTGCAGCAGCAATCTCACTACACAAATAATAAAGGGGATATCAGCCATTACAAGAGATCCTACAACACAATACACCATTGTTTACAAGAGCCACTAGTTTGATTAATAACAATCAAAATCAGAAATACTTTGATTGGTATTAATTGGAACATTACAGTTGCAAATGTATGCATCAAACACACACAACATACAACCACAGCGTAAATAAGTGAATAAACAAAAATGTTCAAGTTGAGCGTGTGTTATACCGTCTCTGATTTCATGAAGGTCCCTGGGCTGCACAAAGTCTGGCTTCACGATCTCAAACCACCAGAAGAGCTCAGCAATGAAGACCATGACGTTGTTCTGCAAGACACAATGATCACATTCAAGGTAAATTACAACACAAAGACGCGACAATGTCGTCGGCACCTGTCGTATAACTTTTTTGGTTGTGAAGTGTTTTCAGGGCTCACCTTTAGTACCGGTGGAGAATACAACATGTCCTCGGGCTTCAGATAGAAGCATTTGTTCAGGTATTCATGAGAGAACTCTTGTAGTAGCTGGATGTTGTACATACTGTCTGCTATGGAGGGGACCTCCTTCAGACAGATATCTGCACAGAACAGGACAACAATGGTCAATGCTCTCTGTATTAGTTAATTGGTAGATCAAGACCGTTTGAAACCTACTTCTTATGAGAGACCTTAAAGGAATATGTTTGGCATTTTGGAAAATACACATTTGTTCAGTTGCCGAGAGTTGGATGAGAAGATCAATACCCCTTCCTCATATTTGTATACTATACTGGTATCGATCTACAGTCCAATGTTACTGCACCTTCCAGTCGAATGAGTTCTGGGCAATAGAAGTGGATCACAGCCAGCAGAGCTGTGCCGTCACACACGTCCTTCAGCAGGTCATCCAACAGAGGGAAGTGCTGAAGTGCCCGACCCGACAGGTGATCTCTGCGGTAACGCACCTACACAGGAGGAGAGGGCACGAGTTTAGACAAAGTACACAAATGTATCTAATCAGGAAACTGAGTCACATGCTCACACACACACAAACACAACATTTCTCTCTTTGTAAATGACTCTCTGGCTGTATTTAACACTCTGGAGAGGAGGGTAAGTGGCATCCAGTGCTTGATGACCTTAAATTATCTTTCATCAGATTAGATCATGTGAAACTTTGCAAAGTCTTTCAGAGAATCATGTGCATCTGACCTGTCATGTGGTCCAATAATGTGTGCCTTGCTCATAAGGACTTATGCAAGGATGTTAATCATTTTCAGGTGTAATAATATAACTGAGACCGGGGGGGGGGGGCTAGTAGTTGAGTGATATGATTCATGACAAAAAAAGGGAAAAACAATCAGGATGAAATAAACAAAAGGGTTAATGGTGAGGACATTACCATGTGAGAGAACTCCACAGTCTCCAATAAGTAGCTGGCCAGAGCATGCAATATATCAGGCTGGTGAGGGAAGAAAGAAATGATTGGGAGGAAGTTAATGAAATGAAATGAGGCAAGCCATGACTGGATGAGTGGACTCCAGACAGGTTGCCTTATGGCAACAGTTGGTTAGAACTTCCCGGGTTTTCACTTCACTTCTTCGGATAAAAACCAAAACAGAAAGTGTAGAAATGTACCGTGGTGTGTGGATGTTTTGAGGGAGGGGAGGTGATGAATGTGAAAGCTGAATACTGAAGGCACTGCTTCAGGGTTTGATGCAAAGTAAAAGCAAAAAAGGAGCAGGAAAAAGAAAAGTGTCTCATGAGCTTGCTGTTTCTTCCTTTGCCACAAAGGGGCACTGTTTCATCTTCACTGTTAACAACATTGTATTTATACATCACTGCATTGGCTCCTTTGACACTGAAACACACACACATCTCAGACAGACATACACACAAGAGAAGGCTAGCAGTTAAACTTACAGGTACAAGCTTCCAGTACCATTTGGAGGGAGACTAGTATCCGAGAGGCAGGAAAGGGGGGGAAGTTTGGGTAGACACAAACAGGAAGAGCAGCAGACAAGTCAAGGGTCATATACAATGACAACAAATCAGATTATCCACCATGGAGACTGATCTGATCTTAAAGAAAACTGGAAAGGGTTAGGCAGAAAAAGGGGAAACTACAAGAAGTGTTTGTGTATATTGTAATTAAATATGAATACACAGACATAACAAATGCTCCTTACAACTTCAAAATCATCATGTTTTTTAAGTTTTCTTCGGTATCAAAGTAATCCAGTGAGAGTTGCCTGTATATACATGGGTACATTGCAAACAGGAACCGCTTATAGCAAATTTTGCATGCTTTTATTTGTGCCAATTTGGCAAAATATATACAATATTTAGCCCAAAACACAGGACTCAAGTTGTAGCCCACAGCTGTGCCATGGTGTGTTGTGTTTCAATCTGTGATCAGAAGGTGATATGAGGTTTTCATTAGATCTCAATGCAGGCAAGATCCAATGATTAAACCTACACACGATAGTTAATGCACCCAGTGAAGAAAGGACGCATGCGTATAAAATCCCAGCCAGACAATAAACAAAGGCAACAGCATTACCAAAGAAAGACAGTATTCAACAGAGAGGAAGCTTTTTCTTTCTGAAGCAGTGCGAGAAAGAGACAAAGAGGCAAAGACACACAAGCTGTTACCTTCTGGTGACTGGGCGACTCCAGCAAATGTTGCTTCATTTTCAGCTCTTTTTCGATGATCTCCCTCATCTTTATGTTCACCTGTAAACGACAAAAAGGTACCGCGGGTCAACACAGATAGAAGAAAGCACAAATGTCAAACACCGACACCCATGCCTGGTTCCTACCTTGTTGATCCAAAAGACCATTGCGTCTTCCAGGTGAAAAGGCAAGTCCTTGGAGGCACTGAAGTTGGAAAAGCGCTTGACGCTGGACACCACCTTCTCGATGCTGATCATCTCCACCATATAGGCCATCATCAGGGCATCGATGAGGTGGACGTGGGAGATCTGGAAGAATAGAGATCTTTGCTGATTATATCACATAAAACTACTGCCTTTTTTTTAACAGTAGTACATACGTGGGCTTCTCTGTGAAGAAACATTTTAGAGGTAAGAGATGCTCCATCACTGAGTTGCCATGGAAACAGGGCAGAAACGGCTCTTTACTAGAAACATGCGGAGTTCAAACCGATGTTTGTTATTGCTGCAAAAAGGCCAGCGGTGAGCTAACGCTGGACAAAAGGACGATGTGTGTGTTTTGCTGGAAGCCTGGCAAATGGATTTATTTACTTGAAAAAAAGGGTAATGTCATTCGATGTCTCAAACAAAGAATCTATTTCATGTAAAGATGATCTCAGAAGAGTCTCTTCAGTGTCTCCACCTCATATGAACCCCCGTCTACTTTCACATATACTGACACATACACTGCTGCTTTACAGCCAGAGTCCCGCCTTTTGTGTTTTCACACCTGAGAGTGGGTTCATAATGAATAAACAATGTTGAGCAATTGATTCATTTTGCGTCATGAATATTTTAGTTAAACACTCTGAAACTGTAAAAACATCCACTGGTGCATTATTTATTCCAATACTGTTGGCTCATTTTTCAGCTCTGGAAAGCAAAGTCACATTAGCTTGTTGTCAGTCCACGAGGTTACACTACTGCAGAGAATGTACCCTGATTGACACAACAGTGAACATTTTGTGACCTATTAATGATCTAACAATTCTTAAATTAGAGAATTGTTAACCCAACATAGACATATTATCACAAAGTTTTATAAGGCAAATGTGTACTATTACACATCCAGCATAAAGGATTCATTCGGAGTTGTGTGTCTGATCACCTGATGAATGTGAGTCCAATATTCACTCTCCTTTAAGATTTGTTTGGTCTCCTCTATCTCTTGAGGGGCATTTCTGTCTCTTTAGCTGTTGCTCTACAACCAGACATAAGGTTAAGCTATACCCACCATCTTGATGGGAGTCGAGCTGAGGTCCAGATCAGAGACAGGCGTGTTGTCCGTCTCCAGGACGTAGATGCCTTTCCTGGACAGGACCTGGATGACAGACTGGTGGCTTTGGAGTGAGGCGGCCTGCTCGGCGTGCAGGATGAGCCCACACACCCGGCAGTAGAGCTCCCCGGACAGCAGCAGGCGGATGATGGGGGGCTTGATGTGCTCCTGCTCATACTGGTCGGTATAGAAGGGGTTCCGCAGGTCTGTAGGGATGTGATCTGGTAAGAATGACGAGCATACATGTGTCATTAAAGGAATGTTAGCCAGCGACTTTCTTTTACCTATTAAAGTTGTAATAAGTCACAAATTACACCGTGCATCCACACTATTTTTGTACACACACGTGTCCGTCAATGCCTCACCATGTTACGTAACAGAGACTTCTAAGGTATTAGACTGTCTAATAAGAAACCAATGCAAGAGGAGAGCACTGACACAAAGTCAATGGTCAAACAGCATGACCAGCAGCCCTGAAGGCCCATAGGTGGACCCACAGGCTTTAAGCCAATGAGCTAACAGGACTTAGTGGTGATACTTAAGCTGGTGGAGTTGTCCCAGCGGGGTATCTTCATGCTCATGGACACAGACACGGTGCAGCTATTTTTATTTGCCTTGGACATGTTAATCCAGAGTTAAGGCCTGAAGCACACACGAAATTTGGCTTCCAGCACTTTCTAGGTAGATTTACGCAGGAATCAACAGGGAGACTGTTGTCTGATAGAGTTGGCAACTAGTGTTGTAATGCATATGATGAGGATAAGTACAAGAAACGGTCACCGATTGTCATTTTTACACGGAGTAAACAAACAAGATATGTGACATGTTAAATAGTGAGCTTTAAAAGGTGCTGATAGGCAGATATTCTTAACCTTTGGTCAGAGCCAGGCCAGCTTTCTCCCCCTGCATTTAGTCTTTATGCTAAGCTAGGCTAACAGCCTTCTGGCTCTAGCTTCATAGCTAATGCACAGACGTGAAAGTGGTATCAATGTCCTCAACTCTTAGCAAACCAGGTGGGCAACCAGACAATATACAGGCAACATCCATGACATTGTGCTGAGCTACTCTCTAGTTCAACTGTGGCCTTCCATGAAAACTCAGTGTTATAATGCATTATGGTCACTTTGTATACATTCACCAAAGGATTCACTTTGAAAATAAGAGTCATGTTAAATCCCTGTCTGATCGTCTCACTGGCAGTGTTGCTGTTGTGTCTCTCACAAGGCTCAAGATCTTGGCAGTGACACTCGTGAATAAAAGTGCATCTTAAATAATAAGAAAATAAGGCTGAGGCTTTTAAAATGCCCACATTTAACAAGAGGATAAGTGATGATACTTGGATCAATATTCAGCCACTTAACAACAGCATCTTTTCTCGTTTAGCTTCACTTAGAAGCCAGCTGACTGAGGCGATCAGGCAAAATAAGACGTCCATCAGTGGAAAACACACACACACACACACACACACACACACACACACACACACACACA